GCCACAGGGGGGGGGGGGCAGAGAGCAGGAGGCCACGGGTTGCGGCGATGGCAGCAGGAGGTGATGGGCAGCAACGGGAGGGCAGTGGGAGGCAATGGCGGTAGGCACAAAGCGACCATCGTCCTACTAACTGACCCAGGCAATTGAGAATTGGATTCGAACTCAGTTCTGTACTACGACAGTTCATGGCTGTACCAATTCAGCTACCAGTAGGTTTGATGGTCCAATTTCACAGCCTCTCATACCAGCCGGTAATCTGGGCCGTTTGCATGACGGAAGACCCAGATAGCAGGCCGATCACCAAATATTAAGATCGGCCCACTATCCGCACGGACAGCCCAGAGTGCGAGCCGATTTGAATTTTGCGCGATCGGCACATTATCCAGTTTGCACGACCACCCGGCGATCTCAGCAGTTCCTTATGACAAAGTGGTTTCTACAATATTGTAGAATAGTATTGTAGAATTACTGACAAAAAAAGACTTCTGTCTGGCTGAGATTGGAAACGTGACCACCTCACCTTGCAAGTCACCCTATAGAAAGAAACGTCTCCTCGGCCCTTCCCTCCACGGGGAGTCGCAGCCTCCTTGATTTTTTTCCCTGCTGCCAACAGTTTTGCTTGCCGCTCTTGCTCCTTGATCTCTCTTGCCAGTCGTCTCTGCATGTGATCCAAACGTGTCAGCAAAGGAAAAAGACATGGAACTCGCAAAGACGGACCACAATGACGGCACAATGTATAAACTCATTGGGACTCGTTGAGAATCTTCAGCTTAAACTTCAAACTTCAAAAACTCTAGACCTGAAGTTTAACGTTCAAGCGTCAAACTTCAACCTTATTCTCCTACACGTAGGACAACGACTCACCTTCCGGCGGTTATGACCTTTCTTGTCATAAAACGCGGGTAGTGTGAAATTTGGGCTCAACAGAGCAACAAAGCAACAATCCTAACGTTGTGAAAAACAAGAAAAGGAAAAAAGATATAGAGCGGAAGGGTCAGGCATGCAATTAGAATAGAAGGGTTCTTTTGAAATGACGATGGAGTGAGGGTGTGTAGATAGGCAGAGTGAGTAGACATAGCCATGGAAAGGTCATAACCGCTGGAAGGGGAGTCGTTGTTCTATTGGTCAGGCATGCAATTAGACCAATAGGGCAAGGTACAAACCATCAGCAGAGCAAGTAGACAAGAAGATGGAGAATCAAGATAGCCATGGCGACCAATAGTACCAAGTACAAGCCATCACCAGAGCAGGTTGGAACGTTCAATGATGCACATTACTCTTGACAGCAGTTTCTTCCCAGGGAAAGGGAGGCAGAGGACAACCAACTGGCCAAACCCAGCAGCAGCAGGAGGAGGAAGACAAGAAGAAGGAGGGAGGAGGAGGAGGAGGAGGAGGAGGAGGAGCGAAAATGCACCAGCAGAGGAGGACAACGGGAAAGAGGGGAAAGAGAAGGGGAGGGAGGGAGGACTGAAAACGCACCACCAGATGAGCAGTGCACAAGAAAAGACAGGGAAAAAAAAACAGCTGAGAAAAATCAGAAAACCGACTTCCTTCCACATCTGAGGACTCACACCTCCTTTTCTGTGTTAAAGTTTTCAAAATTCTACTGTTTTGAGTACGTGTATATGCAACAGTACCTCTTTCTCTTTCTCTGTTTCATAGTCCCCATACAGCTTTTCATCGACACGTTCATGGTCACCGAGACCAATCAGAGCATTCAAAGTGGACTTGCTAATCTCCTCTCTGCATAACCAACATGAAAAAAACCATTAAAAACAAAACAAAACAAAACAAATCAGACTCGCTCAGCAAACACTCTCGACCACATTCCATTGCAACCACAACACACACACACACACACACACACACACATTAGTGGAATGCAGAAGACCAGAGACAGGCTAAGAGATCCCATAGTAAGCATAAAATGAGTACCTCACTGTTGTTACCTAGAAGGCAGAGCCACCTATATAATTAACTGTTGACGAATCGAAGCTCCCAGTTCGAACAGTACTCATCATAGTAATCAACCAACCAGTCAGTGTGGCATAAGTTCAAACCCTGTTGAATACAGTCATGCCAGGAGAATACCTTTGAAAAAGGGGAGAATGTGAGGATTGAGGCCATTGCAATCAGACTCCTTCTCAAACACAATTTTCATGCATGTAAACAGCAACGCAGTATACTGGCAACATGCGCCCACTCAAAACTCAGAGATATGGCTTTCAGATACGAGTTCACTCTCAATTGGCTATGGCGACTTCAGCGCCCAAACATCTCACTGTTCACATACACTGGATCACCCTGGATATCCCACACTCATCACTCTAACACTCAAGCACACACACACACTCACTACTAACTACAGCTATGGCAGCTATGGCTGCCTCTAACCTATCGCTATGCTAACTCCTCCTCTCTTGCCCACTGCGTCCTCCGGGCTCATCTGCAGACCTCCTTGCACAAGTCGCTGTGGCAGCACTTCCGCATGGCTCACGCAGGAAACAATGAATGGCTGGGCGCTGCCTCTTGATTTATACTTCAGAAACTCGTTGGTCTGCCCTTTGCCATCGGCCCTTGGTGCTCACAGTCCCCCTGTGGTACTTGCTGGACTGGACTGGGACT